CAGACAGACAGATAAACAGACAAAAAGACATTAAAACGAACTGCCGAAAACGCAAATGGCATAGCCCCGGCCAAGTGCCCTAACCCCAAACAAGGACAACGCCGTGACTGTGGCATCGACGATAACACACTGCTCCCCTTGTTTGAGCAGAGAGAAATAATTATTACACTAAATCAGCTGAAAGAGATGGCGTTAGGTGTGGAGGAGGTGGCGACGAGTGACCCACAAGACGAGGTCGACAGCTGTAAGATGGGTCAAATGCGGAATAGCTTTACAAGTGCTTGTTTTAACCCGTGAAACGTTAAGAGACCGTATGTGTGTGTGTGTGTGTGTGTGTGTGTGTGTGTGTGTGTGTGTGTGTGTGTGTGTGTGTGTGTGTGTGTGTGTGTGTGTGTGTGTGTGTGTATGTGTGGTGGATTGGTGGTTGCATTACTTGATTTAATGGTATTTTCTTTCGATGTTTGTAGTTTGTGGATTATTTTATCCGGATCAGTGGCTAAGGATTGGTATGAGAACATTAGTATTGACTGACATTGTTGTTATATTGTCATGCCTGTGATGATGAGTGCTTCATTTATTGTTATCAGGAGCGTGTTTCATCATTATCATAATAACTGTTATTATCATTATCGGCATCGTTATCATCATCGCTACAATCATATCACTGCCATTATATTTTCATCATTACTACTGCAATTATAACTATAATGACCATTACCAGCAGGGTAACGATGATCATTATCATTACTAATACGATCACCATTACCATTAGCATCACAAATATACACTACACTCCCTTTCACATCATTTATATAAATATTAATCTTGCCATGTATTAACCATCAATCCAAGATCATTACGAATAACAATTTCTCAAATTCCCCTTGCCACTTTTTTCTATTATCAGAAAAAAAAAGCAACTGCATATTCATTCTCCAACGATCGCACAAACAGACATGGAAAGATTATGTAAAATACCCAGCAAAAATTATTCGAAACATAATACTGATTAACAAGCGACCGACCATAATTTTTTGGGAACAATAGATGGCTCTGACCCTGAGCTTTTAGGGCGATCAGGCAAATGAGGTTTTTATGAACGCGTTTACCCTGGCAAGTTGGGGAAAAATGAAGGGTGTACACACACACTGACACACACACACACACACACACACAGAGTTAGACATACGTGTGTGTGTGTGTGTGTGCGTGTGTGTGTGTGTGTGTGTGTGTGTGTGTGTGTGTGTGTGTGTGTGTGCACCCGTGTGTGTGTGTGTGTGCACCCGTGTGTGTGTGTGTGTGCGCCCGTGTGTGTGTGTGTGCGCCCGTGTGTGTATGTGTGTGTGTGTGTGTGTGTGTGTGTGTGTGTGTGTGTGTGTGTGTGTGTGTGTGTGTGTGTGCACCCGTGTGTGTGTGTGTGTGCGCCCGTGTGTGTGTGTGTGCGCCCGTGTGTGTGTGTGTGTGTGTGTGTGTGTGTGTGTGTGTGTGTGTGTGTGTGTGTGTGTGTGTGTGTGTGTGTGTGTGAGTGAGTGAGTGCGTGAGTATGCGTGCGTGTACGAATATAATTCAAAAGAAGAGAAAGCCAACAAACCCAGTGAGAATCCGAAAGACAGACAAAAACAAACTTCCCTGTACCTTCCCCGCCACCTTTTCTCTCTTCACTACTTCAAGAGGAAACGAATCTGAGGCCTAACTACGTCTACGCAAGGCTAACGGAGGTCATGTCAGATGGGGGGGGGGGGGGGGTGAGACATGCAATAATCGAGGAATGGGAGAAAGATTATCTCCACAGCATGAGAGTTGTGTTTGACCGGCATTGACTTCATGTATTTTCGACGAAGATGTCGATAGCGGCCCAATACATCTCGATCGCAGTGGAAATATTCATTCGCTTTCATACTCTTTTCTACGATAAAGAACTGTAAAAACCAGATGGTGAGCATTTAAATTCTTTAAATAGTTAATCGTTAAAACTTCCACTGAGTTATTTTTAAAAAAATATGAAAAACAAACAGAATGGAAGTTAGCAAGGCAAATAAGCAAATAAAATGCACATAAAAAAGGGGAAAAAATTATAAACAAGACTAAACACTGCTAGAATTCAACCTTCAAAAGTTCTATAAAATGTTTGGAAAGAGAAAAAGAAAACTAACAAACAAAAAAGAATAAACAAAAAAAGGTAAAAACTTGAACATCCAGAAAATTAACGCAAGAATCTTTTGGGAAAAAAAAAATACAAATAAACAAACAAAAGACAAACAAAACAAGAAAAGTAAACATCCAGAAAATTAACGCAAGAATTTGGCGAAAAAAATAACTCAAAAAAAGAACAAAAATACACACAAACAAACAAACAAAGACAAACAAAACAAGAAAACTAAACAACCAGAAAATGAACGCGAGAAGTCACCCCTAAAAAAGCCGGCCTAAAATGTTTGCAAGAAAACGGAAAGAGCTAATCCTCTTCAGCGCTCTGCATCTGAAACGTCAACAGAGGGAGACGGCAAGTCAGCAGCACGAGAACAGAGACGCTGGGACTTATGTACATGTGCGGTGAGTTACGTGGATGGGGGGTGGGAGGGATGAGTGGGGTGTGTGTGTGTGTGTGGGTGTGGGTGTGGGTGTGGGTGTGGGTGTGAGAGAGGGGGGGAGTGGATGACTCGGGCTGAGTATGTGGGTGACTCGTGCTGGATGAGTGGGTGACTTAGAGTGGGCTTGTGGGTTGTGGAAGTACGACTCACGTATATGCACGCGTCTACGAGTATACGTGTATGTGTGCGTTCGTGGGTCCGTCAGTGCGTGCGTGCATGTGCTTGCGTGTGCCTCTCACATTCCCCTTCTCTGACTGTAAAACTTCAAAGGAAATTGGTCACTGCATCTGAATCGAGCAGTCACCCAAGGACCGTATGCAATATAGCCTCTGCATGCACTTTGCTTGCAGGAACTGACGCTTTTGATGCAGAAAAAAGGTTCCTCTAATTTAGTTCAATCTGAGAGATGCATTGTTCTGATTCTAATCCCAGTAGTTGGCTCAAATCTGCGTTCATATCTGGGACTGTTGATGGCGCTCGATACAAGCAGTAAATCTCTTTGGGGAAAAAATAATGCTTGAAATTACTCATTCTCTCTTTCTCTTTCTGACTCTCTTCTCTCTGTCTGTCTGTCTCCCCCCCTCCCACTCCCTCTCTCTCTCTCACCCCCCCCCCTCTTTCTCTTCTCCTCAATCTATCTCTGCCCCCCCCCCCCTCTCTCTCTCTCTCTCTCTCTCTCTCTCTCTCTCTCTCTCTCTCTCTCTCTCTCTCTCTCTCTCTCTCTCTCTCTCTCTCTCTCCCATCTCTTTCTCTCCCCCACTTCTCTCTCTCTTAAAATACTTCCATTCAGCTTTAAATCAGCACAATACCGAGAGACCATAGGTGAAATATTTCCAAACACCAACTTTATTCCACATTCAAATATTTTCATATCGCGATAATTCAAACCAATAACAATTCACTAAACGACAGTCAAGCGGTGCCATTCCTGCTAAACGACATCGTTACAGTGTACTTAAAGTGCCATATTTGGGCTATGCCAACACTCCCAGATGAAAGGTAAATATGTAGGTATTTACCAGCTGTTCCTATGCCAGGTATTGTTTTCAGGGTGTAAGTACTTCAGTGACCTGTATATATTGCTATGTAAACGTTTGTCCTAGTGTGAGAAATATGGAGGCATTTTGGAATGAAGTCTATTGCCAACGTCTGTGTGTGTGGATGTCTGTGTTTGCATTTGTGTTTGTGAGTGTAAGTGTGCGTGTGGATGTCTGTGTTTATGTATATTTGTGTGTGTGTGTGGATGTCTGTGTTTGTGAATGTTTGTGTGCGTTTGTGGGTGTGTGAGAGTGAGCGCGAGTGCTCATCACTCACACTAGAATATACCTACAGCATGATCATTAAAAATAACAGATAACTAGTAATCTATTAAGTTATTCATCCAAACACTCTTCCTTAAACCAAGACATAATCACGGTCACACATCAGACAAACAGAGGAATGCTCTCGGAACACTAATTTGCTTCCAAGTAAATTCCACACACACACACGGGAAAAAAATATAATCTACAAGCCAATGGGAACATCAAAGACAACATAATTTTAGAAGATTTTAGGTGATTTTAAACTCTTCACTAAAATGTTTGACCTTGCTTCGAAAATAAAATAATACATTTATTTGCTCGAGGAAAGCTCAACAGAGCAATAAAAAAAACTATGAAGATAATAAATATAACTCGGGATCTTAACACAAAACTTTATCTTGTTTTGATCATTGACTTTAGTTGATTAGGACAAGATATCTTCAGCAAAAAAAACTATTACTGAAACTCGAAATTACACAGCAAATATGACCTTGTTTCCGGATGACCTGTGACCTTACCTGTACGATAATAAGACCTATAACACATCATGATAAGTTGAAATCAAAATTTCAGATCCGATAACATTCTTTCATGGCAGTTTTTGTGACCTCTGACCCAGGCAACATAACATCAATAAGAACATAATAATACTATCAAGCAGAGCCTAGTATAGCATACGCCATATGTTATATACTATTATACTATGTACTATACACTATATACCATTTGATATATACTTTATACTATATACTATATATTATAAACAATACACTGCACACTGCATACTATATACTGTAGTATATACGAATATATACTACATACTATATACTACGAATATATACTACATGCTATATACAACGAATATATATTACATACTATATACTATGAATAAATACTACATACTATATGCTACGAATAAATACTACATACTATATACTACGAATATATATTACATGCTTTATACTACGGATATATATTACATACTATATACTACGAATATACACTATACACTATATACTACGAATATATACTACATACTATATACTACGAATATATACTATACACTATACACCATACACCATACACTATATACTATACAGCTTACCTCCCTGAGAACCTCCAGCAAGGGGACAGCCCATCCCTGATTGACCTCGCAGTGTGAGTCGAGAAAGAAGATGGTTTCGCCCTGAGATGCGTCGGCGCCTCTGACCCTTGACCTGATGAGACCTGTGGGGGGGGAGGGGAGGGAGAGAGGGTGAAAGACTGTGGTGATTGGAATAATGGTGATGATTTTGATGGTGAGGGTGGCGGTGGTGAGGGTGGTGAGGGTGGTAATGATGATGGTTAATAATAATTATTATGATAAAATGACAGGAAATAATGGTGGTGGTGGTGGTGGTGATGATGATAATGATGATAATGATGATGATGATGATGATGATGATGATGATGATGATGATGATGATGATGATGATGATGATGATGATGATAATGATGATGTTGATGATGATGACGACGACGATGACGATGACGATGATAATGATAATAATGATACTGATTGTGATGATAACGATAACTACAGCATAAATAATAACGCGCATCCGTCATTACCATAAATCAATTAAACTTTCCACCTTCTCTGCTTCTCGCCTCATTTTCTCCTCACTAAATGCATGACCTATTTATCTCAATATTGTCCTCCCCTCATAACTGATTGCCTTCTTTTTCCTCATAATTTTCAAGTTTTCTCAATTTTCCTCGTATAAATCGCGTAAAAGCTATCTCATTTCTTTTCGTTTTTTTATTATTTTTCATTTAACTTTTTTTTGTTGTTCTTTTTCTTTCTAAACGTTCGTTCATCTTTTTTTATTCACTTACCGTGTTGTCTCCATCATCTCTCATTTCTTCTCCTTTTCCTCCATTTCCCTCTTCTTTACTTTTTCTTAGTTTTTCTTCTTCTACTTCCCTTTTTTTCAAAATCTCTTTGTGTTTCTCCTCCTTCCCTCCTCCCCTCTCGTTTGCTCTTCGTCCTTTCCTCTCCATCTTCCTCCCTCTTCCTCCTTCCCCTCTCCCATATTCTTCTTCCTTTTCTCGCTCTTTCGCCCTTTTCACCTCAGTCTATAATTCTTTCTCTCTCTTCGTTGTCCCCTTTACTCTCTTCGTATTTATCTCCATTTTCTCTCCTCTATCTCTCCATTTCCCTTCATCCTTTCTTTCCTATTTCCCTTACCCACAATTCCCTCTCTCCTCCAATTTCTTCCTTCCTCCCTTCCCCAAATCCACCCTCTCCCTGGGTCTCTCCCTCCCTAATCCTCCCTTCCTCTCCCCCTTCTCCCTCTTCCTTTATTCTTACTCTCATCCATCTCCCTTTCTACTTTCTCTTCACTTCCCTTGCCCTTCCCCATCTACTGTCCTCTTTCCTTATCCTCCTCTTCCTTCATCCTTCCTCTCCCTTCACCCTTTTTCCTCTCCCCTCCCTTACCCTCTCCCTCTCTCTCCCTCTCCTCTCTTCCTTTTCCTCCCTCTCCCTTCGTTTTTATCATCCCTCTCCCCTCACCCTTTTCTTCACTCTCTCCTCAAATATGTCATCCCTCTCCCTCCCCTTTCCCCTCCCTCTCCCCTCATCCTTTCCCCCCCTTTCCCCTCCCTCTCCCCTCGTCGCTGTCCTTCCTCTCTCCTCCCTCTCCCCTCGTCGCTGTCCTTCCTCTCCCGTCACCCCCATCCGCCCTTAACCCACCTTCGCTTCAATCTTTATTCAAAACTTTCCCAATCACTGTCATTGAGTGTTTGTGTTCCTCTCCAGCGCCAGCCCTCTTCTTCTCCTTCTCCTTCTCCTTCTCTCTCTCTGTCTCTGTCTCTCCCCTCTTCTCCTTGGTCCCTCTTTCAGCCCTCATCTTCTTCCTTCTCTCTCTCTCTCTCTCCTATCTTCCAACCCTTACCTTCTCCTTCTCACTCTCTCTCTCTCTCCTCTTCTCCTTGGAATTCTTCTTCTTCTATCTTCTTCTTCTCTCTCTCTCTCTCTCCCTCTCCTCTTCTCCTTGTCCCTTCTTTCAGCCATCACCTTCTCTCTCTCTCTCTCTCTCTATCTCTTCTTCCATCCCTCACCTTCTCCTCCTCTCTCTCTTTCTCTTTCACCTATCTTTTCCTTGGCCCCTTTTTCTTCTCTCTCTCTTTCTTCCCTCTATTCTTTATCCCTCTCTCACCCCTTATCTCTCTCAGCTCCTTTCGAATACCTCTTGTTTCTTCTCATTCGTAACTAGGCCACATTTTTTTTTTCTCTCTCTCTTCTTTCTGTTGTTGTTGCTTTTATATTATCATTGTTATTATTATTATTATTATTATTATTATTATTATTATTATTATTATTATTATTATTATTATTATTATTATTATTACTATTATTATTATTATTATTATTACAATTATTATTACTATTATCATTATTATCAGTATTGTGATTATTATCATTATTATTATTATTATTATTATTATTATTATTATTATTATTATTATTATTACTATTATTATTATTATTATTATAATTATTATTACTATTATCATTATTATCAGTATTGTGATTATTATCATTATTATTATTATTATTATTATTATTATTATTATTATTATTATTATTATCATTATTATTATTATTACTTTTTTATTTTTTGCATTTGCACTGATCATTGCATTTTTATTTCTTTTCTTTTCTTCTTTGATTGCCTCTTCTTCTTTACTCTATCTTTATTATTATCTTTCCTATCTCCTCCTACATTTCTCTTTCATTATTTTTTTTCCCCTTTTTCTATGTTTTCATATATTTTCATTTCATTTGTATTTCCTACTTTATTTTATTTTTTTTTCTTCTTCCTCTTCCATCTCTATTCTTCTTTCCTACCTCCTCCTACTTTTACTTTTCATTACTTTTTTTCTATTTTCCTTTTCTCTCTCCCTCTTTTCTTCTTTCTTATTTCTCACCTCTCTAATGTTTTACTTGCTGTTCGAATGTATTCTTTATTTTCTAATTCTGTATTTATTATTGTTATTATTAGTTGTTGTTTTTTATTTCTCATTTCTCTGTTTTTATTTCCACTTTCCTACGTGTCCCTATTTCTCCCTTTCATTATCTTCTTCCCTTTTCCCGAATTCCTTTTTTTCTCTAATCTAATTATTTAATTACTCAATATCTTATTTAATTCCCTTCTTCCACACCTCCTTCATTACTACATCTTCTTCCCTTTTTTTTCCTTATTTTCATCTCCCAATCTCATCATTTATCTATCTATCTGTTTATTTTCCTTTTTTTTATCTTTTCCTAAAAATCGTACCTTGTCTCTGGTCGTTCCTTATGACTCGCACCTTTGGCAACCCTGCGAGGAGCTGGCCGTCTTGAGCTGAAATTGGAAAATTAATAAAGAGATAAATAAATAAATGAATAAATAAATAAATAGAATGAATAAATAGATAAATAAATAAATAGATAAACGAATAAATAAATAATAAATAAATGGATAAACAATAAATAAAAGAATAATAAATAAATGATAAATAAATAAATAAGAAAAGTAGTACTTATATATGAGTAATAAATAAGTAAGTAAGCAAATAAGTAAATAAGTAAGTAAATATGGAAATAAATAAGTAAGTAAGAAAATAAGTAAATACGTAAGTAAGCAAATGAATAAATAAACAAGTAAATGAACAATTAAGTAAGTAAATAAGTAAATAAATATAGAAATAAGTAAGTAAATAGATAAGTAAATAAATAATTAAGTAAGTTAATAAGTAAATAAACACATAAATAAGTTAGTAAGTAAATAAGTAAGTAAATAAACAAATGGATAAATAATAAACAACACACGTATATATATTACGTATTTCGAAACAGAAATTCCAATCGTGCAAAATGTCACAAAGAGAATGAAATAAATAGAATGTGGATGGAAGTAAAAAAAATAATAATAAATAAGAAAGGGAAAATAGATAATGAAGGGTAGATTATTTACGAAGGGAAAGTAGAATTAATCAGTAAATACATTATTTCTGGACGTAATGATGAAAAAAATTTATTTATTTCATGGAGAATTATTTATTTTATGTTATTTTTACTCGCTCTCTTTATGGTATTTTGGTGTGATTTTCAAGGCAAATAAAATTGAATTTAATGTATAAAGTATATTCAAAATTTTGTATATTTTTATTTTCTTTATTTTCATTTTTGTGTTATAACTTCTCAATCTGTAACAATGCCATCTAACCCCTGAAGCTGTTATAATCAAAGCTTTCTAAAACATGTAAAAACAACAGCAAAAACAAAAGTTTATGTTAATAATAGGTACAGAAATCTTTACAGGAACTAAACTATGTGTTCCCTCTCACCCCCCACAAAAAGAAATAAGAATAACAAAATAAAAATAAATAAATAAAAACATTCCTTTAAAATATATCCTAAAAAATATATATATATATAAAACTTATACTGATATCAACAAGGTATAAGGCGGAATGTCACTCATACTTACGGTCGTCACTCGCGTCGTCCACGAGTATTAGGTCTTCAAGCAGGTCATCTGGCGTTCGGGTCAAGACACTGTCAAGCAACAAAGCGGGAGAGACGGTTATTCTTTAGCTGTTTATACCTGACACTTCTGGGTCAGGCTGGCTAAACCTCGTTAAAATGACGTTTGTTAAAAGATGCATTTCTTCTCTCTATCGTATTTCATGATCTGTGTATTCTAAGTCTTTCTCTCTTTATTTATTTCTTTCTCTTGAGCTCTCTTTCTCTCCCTCAATTTCTCTTTCTCTTTTTTTTTTATTTATTCTCTCTCTCTCTCTCTCTCTCTCTCTCTCTCTCTCTCTCTCTCTCTCTCTCTCTCTCTCTCTCTCTCTCTCTCTCTCTCTCTCTCTCTCTCTCTCTCCCCTCTCTTTCTCTCTATCTATCTATCTCTATCTCTCTCTCACTAACTCACTCACTCACTCACTCTCCATCCCCCCTCTCCCATACCACCATCCCTCCCTTCCTCCCTCCCTCACTCTCCCACTCTCCCGCCTTCCCTCACCCTCGCTCCCTCTCTCACCCTCCTTCCCTCCCTCCCTCCCTCCCTCCCTCAACCTCCCCCTTCCTTCCCCCTCTTACCTTATAACTGTCCTTAACAGCGCAGACCTCGCTTCGTTGTGGAAGGTGATGACCACTGACACTGTTTGGAGAGAATCGATGTCGTAGGCCACTTGTCCACATCTGCAAGGAGGATTCATGTGTTGGAGAGAAAGGAAGAAAATGATGAAGAGGGAGGAGGAGGGAGGGAGGAGAGGGAAGAAGGAGAGGAGGGAGGAGAGGGGAGAAGGAGAGGAGGGAGGAGGAGGATGGAGGGGGAAGAAGGAGAGGAGGGAGGAGGATGGAGAGGAGGGGAGGGAGGGAGAGGAGGAAGATAAGGAATAGAAAGGAGATGAGGAATAATGATAAAGAGAAGAGAAAGAAGAAGAAGAAGAAGAAGAAGAGAGTAGAGGAAGAAGAGGACGGAGAGAAGGAAGGAGAGGAAAAGAAAGAGGAAGCGAAGGATAATAAGAATTTACGTTTGTATATAAGAAAGAAACAATACAATAAAAAAAGAGGGGAAAAAGGACGATGAAGAAGACGAGGAGCAAGAAGAGAAAGAAAAGGAGGCGAAGAAAAATAAGAATTATAATAATAATTAAAGATGTTCGTGACTGAACATGACGACGACAAAGAAATAGAAAAATGATGATTACGGAGATTAGGAAAATAAGGAAGGGGAGAAGAAGAAAAGGAAGAAAATCTGGTTTCCATTGTTATTATTAACTGAACATAATACGAAAAAAAACAAGTATCTAATCTAACACGCTGAATTTTAGCTTTTGGCCAATTGCATTTTTAAAAGGAACTTTTGATTTCGAACGACATAAAGGATCCAGAATATAAAACACATACACACATACACACGCATGCACACACACACACACGCACACACACACACACACACACACAAACACACACACACACACAAACACACACACACACACAAACACACACACACACACACACACATACACACACACACACACAAACATATATATATTTTTCTTTTCTTTTCTTTTTTTCTTTTTTTTTCTCATTTTCCTATTACATCTTATTTTTAGGAATCGAGCGGTCGTTGCTATGATTCATGGACTTCAAATACGCTCGAGGTCAGAAAACCTTTCATTAGACCGAAAGTTGAGGAAGTAAATACATTCCATTATATATTGCATTATTTGAAACGTGAATCGAGCTGGTTTTTTGTCGGAATGTTGAGGTGACTTGTGACTGCAGCTGTACAAAATGGAAGTAAATATATATCTACGTATGTAAACACTGATTTTTTTTCTTGTTTCTTTCTTACTTTTTTTTTCTTTTTCTATTTTTTCATCTCTGTTTTTCTCTTACTCATTCTTTCTTTCTCTCTCTCTCTTTCTCACTCTGTTTTTCTCTCTGTCTGTCTTTCTGTCTCTCTCTCTCTCTCTCTCTCTCTCTCTCTCTCTCTCTCTTTCTCTCCTTCTCTCTCTCTCTGTTTCCCTCTCTCTCTTTCTCTCTCTCTCTCTCTTTCACTCTCTCCCCCCTTCCCTCCCCACATCCCCTTCCCACTCCCCCCTTCCCTCCGCCTCCCCCTCCCTTCCCCCCTTCCCTCCCCCTCCACTACCTACTTGGGGTCCCTCGTGTCCGGCAGCTTCCTGTCGTTCGGGAGGGAGTTGGAGGCGCGGGCGTTGAAGGCGTGGCGGGCGAAGGGGTCGTGCTCCTTGTCCCTGACGAAGCCGCCCGCGAGGTACCCGACGGCTTCCACGACGGAGATGGGCGGCCCCGAGACGTGGTGGCTGGCGTTGTCCGTTCCGATCTGTGGGAGGGAGGGGGGGATGGGGGGTTAGGGGAGGTGGTTGGTGGTGGTGTATAATGGAAAAAATAACAACAACAATAAAATTATGTCTATGTGCACACTCCCTTACACACAGACACACACGCACACACACACACGCACATACACAAACAAACGAACACACACAAACAAATAAACAAACACATACATAAAGCCAACATAGGGCAGTCTACCCTCTATAGCCTACTCGTGCCCCCTCCTCCCTCTCCCTCCCCCCTACCCCCCACCACCCACAATGCAAACCCAAAAGCGTCACGAACAACCAATAAATATAATTATTACTGATTGCTTTGATGGGCCTCTGCGCCTTTGTCCCCGCCCACAATTAACTGCCGCCTCGAGAATATTAATCGACTATTTTCCACGCTCGCTGAAAGTTTTTATTTTTTATTTTTTATTCATTTATTTATTTCTAATAGGTGTAGGTTAATTGAGTTAATGCAATGGCTTCTCTTTTCCTCCCCTCTACCCACCCCTCTCTCTCTCTCTACCCTTCCCTCCCCCTCGGCCTTTTTTCGAAAAAGTTTGTCTTTGTTTGGCCGGGTTTCGTTGTTGTTGTCGTTAATTTGTTTGATATCTGGGCGTCATTGCGGCCGATTTCCAGTCACGTCATATCGTCTTTTATTCTTTTCTTATATTTGTTATTATTATTGAGATATTATCACCATCAATTTTATCATAACAATCACCATCTTTATCCTCACCATCATATATTCATCATCGCTATCCCCATAATCTTTACAAGCATCATAAGTATCATTATCACCATCACTATGTTCGACACTAAACGAAATAAACAAACAAACAATGTGTATTATACTACGCACTATACTTTAATATTCATGAACCATGAACTGACTTCAAGCTCCGGGCATAAGGTACCTATCTTACATCAAAATAAAGAGTTCAAGACCGCATTCACACGGAATATGATTTCTAGCGTAAACTGTAAGTGAATGTGCGAACGGACGAACGGACGAAGCAAGTAGAATTGTAACATAATGATGATTATAGTTATTTTCATCATTATAATTATCAATATCATTATTATTATTGCCATTATTAAGATTATTACTCTTCGCGGCAAGGGCACTGCGTGGATGGTCTTTAATATCATTATCATTAGGATCATCATTATTAGCGGAACCCATGGAAACTCCACGGAAAAAAGGTACTTCTCTCTTTCCTCTCCCTCTTACATCCTTCTTCTACCTCTCGTCTCCTCTTTCCCTTTTCCTTTCCCTCTCTTTCTACATTTCCCTTTCCCGCTGTGTAGCCTCCTCTCGCTGTCAAATTTCCCTTAAATTCACTTCTTCCCTCCCACTTTATGTCCAATATCTGCCCCCTACCATTTTCCTCTTCTTCCTTTTCCTTCCTTCTCCTCTCTCTCTCTCCCAATCCTTTTCTCTTTCCCCTCATAATAAAAATTATAATGATCATAATGACATTAGAATCGTAATATAATGCCTTTGTGAGTGCGTGTTATTCAGTTAATTTTATATATTTGTGCAATACGTGTTATTATTAATACTATCATTATTATTATTATTATTATTATTATTAACATTTTAATCTTCATCATCATGATCGTCATCATCATCATCACTATTAATAATAACAATATCATCATTAACACTACCATTACCATCATGAACTTCATCAAACAATCAATCATTTTCATGATATATTCCTATTTGCTGTGTCTCGTGTCTTATTTGAGAATGATTAATGTTTATACATTTTCAAAACTTTATGATTTTTTTTGGTATCCACATCGCAAGGAAGTTACCAACACAATAACGAAAGCTATATCAGATATCACATTCATATTTATATCCGTAACTATATAAGTCTGTCTATTTATCTATATTTATATCATCTATTTATCTATCTATGTACATATATATATATATGTGTGTGTGTATATATACATATATATATATATATATATTTTTTTTAAGAGTCATTCATTCCACTGCAGGACATAGGCCTCTCTCAGTTCACTATTGAGAGCTTATATGGCGGTGTCACCCTTGCCTGATTGAATGCCCTTCCTAATCAACCCCTATTCGGCGCGCTAACACTTGTGCCACGGCGGTGACTTCCCCTACGACACCTGCGTTTGACTTCTCAAGGCGATATGCCGTTTTCTCGGGCTCGAGCAAGCAGTCAGAGCGCAGGCATTTTTACGACTGCCGCGACGGGGAATTGAACCCGGGACCACGAGGGTCGGGGTCCAGTGCTCTAACCACTGAGCTGTTACGGCAGTTATATACATATGTGTGTGTGTGTGTGTGTGTGTGTGTGTGTGTGTGTGTGTGTGTGTGTGTGTGTGTGTGTGTGAATAAATATATAAAGATAGATATATACATATACATTTATACACACACACACGCACTTGTATATACACTTCGCCATAAAACTGATGGGTAAATAGCGGTGCAATATCGGGCCACAAAGCAGGCGTGGCGAATGAGTTACTTCTTCGTGCCAGAAATATATTTCGTTATATACATTGGAACATTTGTGCCAAGCATAAAAGACATTCAGTTCGTAGAAAACTGAAGTTACACACGAATATATATATATATATATATATATATATATACATATATATGTATATATACATATATATACATACATATATATATATATATATATATATATATATATATATATATATATATGTACATATATATACATATATATACATATATATATATATATATATATATATATATATATATATATATGTATTTAAATATATATATTTGTATCTAACTATATATATATATATATATATATATATATATATATATATATATATATGTATTTAAATATATTCATTTACATATCCCAATGGTGCCGGGGAAAATGAACAAAAAATGGGGAAAATATTGTGCCCACTTTCTATGTTTTTCGTGAAATGTCTGCCGATAGATGGCTCTGCTAGCGCCTGATTTAAATGGCGGGAAAAACGTATTTATCACTAGTGCTATGAAAATCGATGGTGTTATTTTTACCATAAACATTATAATTTTTATATATATTTTTTTTAACATTAGTAACAGCAAAATAAGATTACGTAAAATATTTTGTAAATCAAAGAAACGAGTAAACGGGCGAGACGGGCGGTGCTCGTAACTGGCTCATTGGGGAGTAAGTACAAGTGTTGCCATCTATGCGTAAAAACAATCAAACAAGTACTCACTGTGGGCATAGCACACATTATCATACCCGGCACCAAGGGGATATATATATATATATATATATATATATATATATATATATATATATATATATATATATATGTATGTATGTATTTAAACATATATATTCAAATATACTTATATATACGCATGTGTGTGTACGCATGTGTGTGTATGCGTGCGTGTGAGTATTATGCGTATGTGAGTGTGTGTGCGCGTGAGAGAGAGAGAGAGAGAGAAAGAGAGAGAGAGAGAGAGAGAGAGACAGAGACAGAGACAGAGACAGAGATAAAGACAGACAGACAGAGAGAGATAGAAAGAGAGAGAGAGCCGAGGTTCATACTGTTACATGACTGGTTGATTCACGGAGCTAAAAATAGGCATCCAACCCCATGTGTCTTTTGGTGGTGTTGCGCGAGTGGTGATGCGTGTCTTCGGTGTTGATCTGACAGACAGGCATTAGGAGAGGTTGTGGTGACTAGGATTGTAGGCCTATGTCAAAGCAGGAATCAAAAATATTTTCTTCTTCGTCTTCTTCTATAATAATAATTATTATAATAATAATAATAATAAAAAATAATAATAATAATGAAAACAATAATAATAATAATAATAATAATAATAATAATAACAATAATAATAATAATAATAATGATAATGATAATAACAATAACAACAATAATAATAATAATAATAATAATAATAATAATAATAATAACAATAATAATAGTAATAATAATGATAATAATAATAATAATAATAATAATAATAATAATAATAATAATAACAATGAAATAAAGACTAAACTCCACTTATAAAAAAATCCTTCTGTACAAACAGGCTTTCTCGGTATAACAGAAATACCTACGTTAATATACAATGTCAAATAAAGGTTCAGCGCAACGGAGTGTTATGACCACAAACAGACAGACAGACTACCTTGTAAAAACGTCACCATATTGATATCAAAGGCGGTGCTGTTTATAAGAGAGATGTTATTACAGTCACCATCGCCTTGCTATTAAAGTTGTTTATGTCACTGCTGCGTGTAGGCTTGTGATACATTCTGTTTGTTTGTTGTTGTTGATGTTGTTGTTGTTGTTGTTGTTGTTGTTATTATTATTATTATTATCATTATTATTATCATTATTATTATTATTATTATCATTATTATCATTATTATGATTATTATTATTACCATTATTATGATTATTATTATTATCATTATCATTATTATTATATCATTGTTGTTATTATTATCATTATTATTATTATTATTATTATTATTACTATATTATTATCTTTATTATTATTATCATTACTGTTCATATTACTATCATTATGATCATCGTCATCATTATTATCATTGCCATTATCATAATTATCATTATTATTATGAATATCATCATTATCATCATCACCATTATTATTATCATTACCTTTAACCTCATTACCACATTTATTATTATCATCCTTAAAAAAACAACAACAGAACATAAAAGTGAATTACACGACGATACGAAAAGACAAAAATCAAAAGGCAGCCCAAAAGCATATCAATTCCTTAAGTAGAGCAAAGCAAATGAAAGCTGGATCAGAAAGACAATATCCAGGCGGTTCCAACCCTCTGCCCTTCTGTCCTGAAACAAAGTGGCTTTATTGATATTGAACACTGAGTGCAGACTGACTCGTGAGTGCGAATCGTGGATTTTGTAGATGTACGATGTATCTTTCGTAAATTATATATATAAA